GCTAATTTTTGTATTTTTAGTAGAGATGGGGTTTCACCTTGTTGACCAGGATGGTCTGGATCTCTTGACCTCGTGATCCACCTGCCTCGGCCCCCCAAGTGCTGGGATTATAGGCGTGAGCCACCGCACCTGGCTGACGGTGCGTTTTACTGAAGCCATCATGTTCAATGAGGAGTGGGGGTCCCGGGGGCAAGCGCATATGTAGTGCACACGAAATATTATTGACTTCATCGTTTACTGGTCCTCAGTGGGGGACCTCTTAGCCTTTCCAACAAGATGTTCCCACGTAGCATTGAAGTTCATCAGGTGCAGCTGGCCTGCTCTTCAGCTCAGGAAATGGCGTAGCAACTGCTCAGATTAGTCCCAGGGGATTTGGACTTGCCCTGGAGACCTCGGCTGCTGGAGCTACTCAGTCCAGAACACCGACGTAGGAGCTGAGGGCAGTGATGCACCCGTGGTCCCAGCTACTCAGGAGGCTGAGGCGGATCCCTTGAGCCCTGGAGTTCCAGACCAGCCTGGGCAACAGAGCAGAACTCTGTCTCCATTTTTTTTTTTTCCTCAGACAGGATCTAGCTCTGTTGCCCAGGCTGGAGTGCAGTGGCACAATCGTAGCTCACTATGGCCCTAACTTCCTGGGTTGAAACAATCTGCCCACATCAGCCTCCAAAAGTGCTGGGATTACAGGTGTGAGCCACCATGCCTGGCTCAAATCAAAAACAACAAACAACCAAAAACAGACTCAGGAAGGTGGAAAAGGAAGGGTAAGAGGGAATTCTGGAATCAGTGAGGAGGGTGGTGAGTTGTCATTCAGAACGTTCTGCAGGCTGGGCACGATGGCTCACGCCTGGAATCCCAGCACTTTGGGAGGCCAAGGTAGGAGGATCACTTCAGCTCCTCGGAGTTTGAGACCAGCCCGGCCAGCATGGTGAAACCTCCTCTCTACAAAAAATACAAAAATTAGCCGGATGGGTGGTGCATGTCTGTGGTCCTAGCTCTCAGAAGGCTGAGGTGGGAGGATCCCTTGATCCCAGGAGGTTGAGGCTGCAGTGAGCCATGATCACGCCACTGCACTCCAGCCTGAGCAACAGTGTGAGACCCTGTCTCTAAAAGGAAAAAAAAGTTTTTAGGGGCTGGACTCGGCGGCTGACACCTAGAATCCCAGCACTTTGGGAGGCTGAGGTGGGAAGAGCCCTTAATGCCAGGAGTCTGAGAACAGCCTGCACAAAATAGCGAGATGCCATCTCTACAAAAAATACAAACATGTGGCCAGGTGCAGTGGCTCATGTCTGCAATCCCAGTGCTTTGGGAGGCTGAGGTGGGCCGATCACTTGAGGCCAGGAGTTTGAGAGCGGCCTGGCCAACATGGTGAAACCTCGTCTCTACTAAAAATACACTAATTAGCTGGGCACAGTGGCACACGCCTGTAATCCCAGCTACTTGAGAGGCTGAGGCAGGAGGATCACTTGAACCCACAGGTGGAGGTCTCAGTAAGCAGAGATTGCACCATTGCACTCCAGCCTGGGTGACAGAGTGAGACTGTTTCAAATGACAATAACAAAAAACACAAATGTGAGCTGGGTGTGGTGGTGTGCCCATAGTCCCAGCTACTTGAGAGGCTGAGGCAGGAGGATCACTTGAGCCTGGGAGGTTGAGGCTGTAGTGAGCTGTGACTGTACCAGTGCACTCGCGCCTGGGTGACAGGGCAAGACCCTGTTTCAAAAAAAAATGTTTTTGATGCAACATGTGACTCTTTTTATATGTCTTCAGTGATCATCAGATGCCTACCACCTAGCTTGGAAATGGGTTTCCAGTTCAGGGAGGGCCCTGTGGCCCTCACGGACCCCACTTTCCTTGAATCCCAGGGCATTTCTTTACGTTTCCTATTTATGTATCCTTAAAATTAGTGATTTTTGGGGGAATCTTTGCTATGACCTTTGTATCTACTCTTTATTTATTCATTTATTATTTTTCTTTTTGAGACAGAGTCTCACTCTGTTGCCAGGCGCCAGGCTGGAGTGCAGTGGTGCGATCTCAGCTCACTGCAAACTCCGCCTCCCGGGTTCAAGCAATTCTCCTGCCTCAGCCTCCCAAGTAGCTGGGGCTATAGGCATGTGCCACCACGCCCAGCTAATATTTGTATTTTTTAGTAGAGACGGGGTTTCACCATGTTGGCCAGGCTGGTCTTGAACTCCTGACCTCATGATCCTCCTGCCTTGGCCTCCCAAAGTGCTGGGATTACAAGTGTGAGCCACCGCACCCAGCCACATTTATTATTATTTTTTGAGATGGAGTCTTGCTCTGTCCCCTAGGGTGGAGTGCAGTGGTGTGATCTTGGCTCACTGCAGCCTCTGCCTCCCAGGTTCAAGCGATTCTCCTGCCTCAGCCACCCGAGTAGCTGGGATTACAGGCATAAGCCACCAAGCCTGGCTAATTTTTGTATTTTTAGTAGAGACAGGATTTCACCATGTTGGCCAGGCTAGTCTGGAAATCCTGACCTCAGGTGATCCACTTACCTTGGCCTCCCAAAGTGCTGGGATTACAGGCATGAGCCACTGAGCCCAGCCTGTTTATTTTTTTAGACAGTAGCTGAGCTGATGCTAAGATGCAGGCAAGGCCGCAGAAGGGCTGGCGTGTGAGTGCAAGAGGCTTTTGTTTCATTTCCACGGGAACACCCATGGGTTCTGCTCCTCAGCGTGCCAAGAAGTTCCTCCCTGTTTTTTTTGAGACGGAGTTTCACTCTTGTTACCCAGGCTGGAGTGCAATGGCGCAATCTTGGCTCACCGCAACCTCCGCCTCCTGGGTTCAGGCAATTCTCCTGCCTCAGCCTCCTGAGTAGCTGGGATTACAGGCATGCGCCACCATGCCCAGCTAATTTTTTGTAATTTTTAGTAGAGACGGGGTTTCACCATGTTGACCAGGATGGTCTCGATCTGTTGACCTCGTGATCCATCCGCCTCGGCCTCCCAAAGTGCTGGGATTACAGGCTTGAGCCACCGCGCCCAGCCCCTCCCTGTTTTTTTTTGAGACAATCTCTCTCTGTAGTCCAGGCTAGAGTGCAGCGGTGCAATCTTGGCTTGCTACAACCTCCACCTCCCAGGTTCAAGCGATTCTTCCACTTCAGCCTCCCAAGTAGCTGCGATTACAGGTGCCTGCCACCATGCCAGACTAATTTTTGTATTCTTAGTAGAGACACAGTTTCCTCATGTTGGCCAGGCTGGTCTTGAACCCTCGACCTCAGATGATCCATTTGCCTCAGCTTCCCAAAGTGCTGGGATTCCAGGTGTGAGTCACCGCCGGTCAAGCCTCTGCCTTTCCTTTCTGTTCCTCATCCATGTTACTTACAAGGCTCCTCTGAGCTGCTCGCTTGGGTGCAGGCAGGCCTGAGATTAGTGGGTGGTGGCGCTTCTGCTCCGTCCCGTCACTGTGGGTTCGTTCACTAAGCTTTAAAGTACTGCCTAGCAGACAAGGCCCCCTCACACGTTGGGTGCTGACACGGGTATTCCGTGTTCTCCTCCCCAAGTCTGGCACCCTTGGCCAGTCCCCAGGACCACATTGCTCCTGAGTGTCAAAAAAGCGATGTGACTGCAGTCATCCGCTTGTCACCCTTGCAGAGGTTGGGGGTGGTGGAACTGGCCCCTTGGCAGGTGTTCGTTCCTAAGGCCCCTTGCTTGTGGTGGGAGCCTTGCAGGCCCTCTCTGCCCAGATGCTATTGCTAGCTCTGCTGAGTGAGGACGGGGTAGGGCTGGCAGCAGCTCCAGAGGCAGAGGTCCTGCTGTGAAGGTAGCTGCCCTGCACCCTGTACCCTGCCATGGGAGAGCTGCATGACCTGGGACCCAGTTACCATCGTGTGGGGGATGTAAGTTGGGAGGCAGCGAGGAAGAGCATCAGGTGCCCCTGGTGGGGTCCACAGGGAAGCCTTCAACCTTGGGGAAGGCTCAGTCCGGGACCTGGGTGACTTGTCCCTCCCCCACATGTCCCTCGGTGGTGTCTGGTGGCCAGGGAGGCTGCTGCTCACTGACCTCTGGGCTGCAGTCAGCTCCCTCATCTCAGGAGCTTTCCCCAGGGCCTCTGGGGGTAACAGGATGGCAGCCCTTCTCCTCTGCGCTCGGGAGTCCCTCTTCTGCCAGTTCAGCCTCTGTGCCTTGGGACCCTCACCTGTAAAAGGAACGGCCACTTAAGGCTCAGGCAGGAACAGGCTTGAATGGTGGGATCTTTTGCAGACTCCTGGCTGCTAGAGGGGCACAGTTGCAGCTCTTCACAGGCGACAGCCTTCGGCATCAATCCGTGTGGAAATGCCAAGGTTGGTGGGGCATGGTGGCTCACGCCTGGAATCCCAGCACTTTGGGAGACGGAGGCCGGCAGATGACAAGGTCGGGAGTTCGAGACTAGCCTGGCCGATATGGAGAAACCCCGTCTCTACTAAAAATACAAAATTAGCTAGGCATGATGGCGCACACTTGTAATCTCAGCTACTTGGGAGGTTGAGTCAGGAGAATCGCTTGAATCCGGGAGGTGGAGGTTGCAGTGAGCCGAGATTGAGCCACTGCTCTCCAGCCTGGGCAACAGCAGCAAAACTCCATCTCCACCCCCGCCCCCCAAAAAAGCCAAGAATCCTTTTTGAGTGGGGATAGGCCCACTCAATATTGGTTCAGAGAAAAACATTTTAAAAGGGCCCCAATTTTCTTTTTTTTTTTGAGACTGAGTATAGCCCAGGCTGGAGTGCAGAGGTGTGATCCTGGCTCACTGCAACCTCTGTCTCCCGGGTTCAGGTGATTCTCGTGCCTCAGCCTCCCGAAGAGCTAAGATTATAGGTGCCCACCACCACGCCTGGCAAGTTTAAAAAATTTTTTTTTTAAGACTGTTTTTGGCCAGGCTGGTCTTGAACTCCTGACCATAGGTGATCTGCCTGCCTTGGCCTCCCAAAGTGCTGGGATTACAGATGTGAGACACCACACCTGGCCTCGCCTGGCTAATTTTTTTTTTTTTTTTTTTTTTTTTAGGCAGTCTCACTCTATGGCCCAGTCTAGAATACAGTGGCGTGATCTCCGCTCACTGCGACCTCTGCCTTCTGGGTTCAAGCGATTCTCTTGCCTCAGCATCCTGAGTAGCTGAGATTACAGGTATGTGCCACCACACTTAATTTTTGTATTTTTTGTGGAGATGGGGTTTCCCCTTGTTGGTCAGGCTGGTCTTGAACTCCTGACCTCGTGATCTGTCTGCCTTGGCTTCCCAAAGTGCTCAGATTACAGGCGTGAGCCACCATGCCCAGCCTAATTTATAAATTTTTTTTAGTAGAGACAGGGTTCCACCATGTTGGCCAGACTGGTCTCCAACTCCTGACCTCAAGTGATCCACCTACTACCTTAGCCTCCCAAAGTGTTAGGATTATAGGCGTGAGCCACTGCGCCCAGCCATGTGGGCCCCAATTTTCAATCAAATACAGTTAAGAACTGCAATCAAGCCACCAAGGATCTCCAGTGGAAAGTTCCAGAACTGGGTGGGGAGGAGGCACTGACTCAGGCCTGGCAGCTCCACAGAAACCATCTGTGGTTGAGATGGAGTCGGGGTCATGCAGCAACAGGGTGTGGGCAGCCCTTTGAGGCCTGTGCCAAGCCTGGGGCCTATCCCCACTCCACCCCAGGCACTCTCAAAAGACATTGAGTTGGGAGGCCCAGGTGGGCAGATCACCTGAGGTCAGGAATTTGAGACCAGCCTGGCCAACATGGCAAAATCCCATCTCTACTAAAAATATAAAAGTTAGCTGGGCATACTGGTGGATGCCTGTAATCCCAGCTACTTGGGAGGCTGAGGCAGGAGAATCGCTTGAATCCAGGAGGTGGGGGTTGCGGTGATCTGAGATTGTGTCACTGAACTCCAGACTGGGTGAAAAGAGCGAAACTCCATCTCAAAACAATAGACATTGAGAAGCCAGAAGCCTGTTTCCACGGGTGGACCACACCCACCACCTCCACTGGGATGTGAGCAGCAGTCAGTCAGCTGTATGGGCCGCTGCCGTCATCCCCACTGGAGGGCCGTGTGGGAATGGAGTGCTAGGGCTGCGATGGGCAATTCCTTTGTCTGGAGCTGAAAACAGCCCCGAGGAGCTGAGCTAAGTCCCAGGGCCCTGGCCGAGAACACAAGCTGCTGGGTTTTTTTTTCCTTCTTTCTTTTTAGTCAAGAGGCTGCACCTACCATTTTTTTTTTTTTTAAGACAGGGAGTCTCGTTCTGTTGCCCAGGCTAGAGTCCAGTGGCGTGATCTCAGCTCACTGCAGCCTCCGCCTCCTGGGTTCAAGGGATTCTCCGGCCACAGCCTTCTGAGTAGCTGGGATTACAGACGTGTGCCACCACGCCAGGCTCATTTTTGTATTTTTAGTAGAGATGGGGTTTCACCACGTTGGCCAGGCTGGTTTTGAACTCTTGACCTTGTGATCTGCCTGCCTCAGCCTCCCAAACTGCTGGGATTATAGGCGTGAGCCACTGCGCCCGGCCTATTATTTTTCTTTATTTTTAAGACAGAGTCTTGCTCTGTCGCCCAGGCTGGAGTGTGGTGATGCGATCACAGCTCACTGCAGCCTCAACTTCTTGGGCCCAGATGATCCTCCCACCTCAGCCCTCAAGTAGCTGGGACTACAGGCACGCTCCGCCACAGCTGGTTTAATTTCTTGTGGAGACGGGGTCTGTGCTGCCCAGGCTGGTCTTTAGCTCCCAGACTCCTTAAGTGCTGGGGTTACAGTAGTGAACCACTGTGCCTGGGCCTGGGCTTTTGGAACCAATCTGCCTGCGTCTGTGTCTGTGACGGAGTCCCAGGGTCTTAATTCCCGTGTGCTGTGGCCGCTCTGGAGCGAACCAGGATGACAGCGGGGAGGGTGGGGGTGCGGCTGCCCCCGCTCGGCTGCATGGGAACGCAAGGCTCCGTGTCCTGAGACGAAAGCTGAGACAAGAGGCAGAGTCAGCTCATGCTTAGTGTTTTATTTCCTCAAAGCAGCCATGCCACTGGCCCTCCCAACACCTCCTAGTCCCCTTCCAATTCCCACCACTCCCAACCATCAGATTCCGTTCAGCTTCCTCCAGCCTCAAACCAACCACTTTCTTTTCACAAGCTCAGACCTTCCAAACATTTAATAATGAACACATGTTAAACAGCAGCTCTCACTGTGACAGAAAGGGGAGCTAGAAAAGTTTAGTCCTACTCTGTGCACAGGACTGCGACACCCCGCTCGTAGAAGCTGCGAGGATCTTCCTTTGTAGCAATTTCAAAGTCGACAGTGAAGATAAGGTCTGCACGGGTGAAGTTCAGGTAGACGGGTAGTGTCACCTGCAGGAGAAGCAGAGGGCTTTACTGGGGGCTGGAGGGAAAGGTAAGAAAACAGCTGACAGGTGTGAAAGGTTTTCCTCTACAAACTTCATTCCCAGGTCCAAGCAGAAGCCAGGCACAGACGAGCAAACGCCTCTGCCGGTGTTACTGAAGGGGCCGTGCAGCGCGTACTCACCACACTGGCCTTCTTCTCAGCATTGGTCTGCCTCACCCAGCGCAGCTGCGTCAGGGGCAAGGCAGTTGAGATGGCATTGGACAGGGACAGCTTGTTGTTGTTGCACGTGGCCCCTTGAAGTTTCAAACCTGTGAGGTGGAAGCCAAAACCCAGCCTGAGGTGAACACGACAGCTACACCAACCCCGGTCACAGGCTGACAAACACGACGGCTCCACCCCACCAACAGCTGGTCATCTGCAGGTAGGCAGGCTGGCCAAGCTAGAGGCCAGGTGCGGGGAAGGTCACCTGCAGAGAGGAGCCAGAATGTTATGTGAGATTCCACTCACCTGTGACCCCAAAGCTGCAGGCATCAAGGGTGGCACTCTGTGAGGTGGTGACGTTGACTTCCAAGCAGAGCTCCTCCAGGGACCAGCTGTTGGCCTGGGCCACGTACTGCCTGGTGGCAGTGATGTACGCCTCAGGCACGAACAGGCCACCCAGGCACACGTGGATGTTCTGTGGGAAGCAGCAGCCCCGGAAAAGGAGCTCAGGTCAGACCTGGGCCTTGTTTGTCCCCAGAGCTGCTGCTGCTGCCCCAGCGCAGGACAGCTGCTGCCCACCCCAGACTCATCAGGAGCGCCTTCACCTTTAGTTCCTTGGCGCCACCAGACGCAGCTGCCAGTGAGATGTTCTGTAGCTGCTTGATCCTCTCGCTGAAGTCAGACACCCACTGGATGACAGTCATGCCAGCAGGCACCGTGTAGTGGGACCAGCTCCGAGGCAGGATTCCTGCAGCCAAGGCACACAGAGCCAGGATGGGGTCAGCTCTCACAGCTCCCCCAGCACAGATGGGACAAATCCGCCAGTGCACCCATGTCCTGGCCGCCCACACAGGCGACTGGCGCCTCCACCTCCTGCCTTTCCAGGCTGTGCTTTATGCCCCTGGCGCCGCCCTCACTGCTGCATCTGCTCTAGCTCAGGCTGGTCCAGAGCATGTCTCAGAACCATGCAGTTTCGAGGCTCAATTAGTCTGGGTGTGTCTGTCTGGAGGACTAGAATCACATCCAAGTCAAGCAGCTGTGTTCCTGGTGATTGGGCTCTTGGGGCGGACAGGAGGACGCTGGGGGCTCCTCACAACTCTGGACAAACCCCCCATGCCCAGCTGCCCCTGCTTTCCACTGTCCTGGGGGACACCCATTCTTCACAGGCCACAACCTACCGCTGTCCCTCGCTGGCCTGGGCCACACTGGCCCCCATTCACTGCCTTGCAAGACCCTAAAAGCCTGTTAAAGTTGCATAAAGATTTGGCCAACACTCAGTGAACCAGCAAGAAGACAAATTCTTGGGCATTTCTAAGCTCCCCCACCCCGCCCACCTGGAGGGAAAAGGGCACGGAGCTGCTCTCAGAGGGAAACTCCTGTAGGCCTGGCTGTCAGCATGAGGTGCTGTGTGGCTGGGCTGGGTCGTGGCCCCTGGGAGAAGACCTGGCCGCTAAGGTGCTGGGCTTCAGGTGCCCGCAGGCTGGCATCTCACACACCTTTCACCAGCTCGTTGATCAGCGTGCGCAGGTAGTTGGTCTGCTTCTTCTTTCCTTCACACACCTGGACGACATCCGCGAGGTCCTGGCGAACATCCTGAAGCAGCTTGGCGCCCATCTTCACTTCTCTCTCAAAGAACCTGAACAAAGGATCCTAAAATCGTTCAAAGAGAAGGCCGGGGGAAGAGAAGTGAGGAGGATGTCCTTTCTCAGGCAGAAAGGTCAAGCAGAAGTAACTCAGCCTCCGGGACAGCCCCAGAGCTCCTGACCTGCCTAGTGTCATGGACAGTTTTGGCAGAGCCTGACCTGGAACTGAGCTCATGTGAGGCTGTGGCTGCTCAGAAACCCACCGAGGCCCCTGCCTGAGCCGCGGCTCTCAGGGCTCTCTAGGGAGGAAGGCTGCAGCTGCTCGCTTCGGAAGCTGTCTGCCTCTCGTGGAAGAAAGGCAGACAATCTCCTGGAGTGTTTTCAGTCCATTTCAAAAGGGTCAACTCATCTTGCCCAATGCCTGGACACCCGCTCTGAGGTGACAGTGGGTGCGAATGCATTCCGTCCAGCATGATGGAACCAGTGGTCCACGGAAGGACAGTCCACGACCATCTCCAGCACCCGGGACCCTGAGACCTGGCCGGCTTGCCGCCCTCCCAGCTACCTTGATGTTCTCCACGGTGCGCTTGAGGTGGCTCAGCGTCTGGGGGATGAGGTGGAGCCAGTTGGACGCGGTGGTGTGCAGTGTCCGCATCCAGGCGGGGCGCCCGTCGGACGTGGAGTCTGTCCTCGTCTTCTTCTCGGTCTCGGCGTAGGCCAGGTCGTCCTCGTCCTCCAGCATCTGCATCTTCAGCATCTTACTGATCATGTCCACACCTGGGCCACAGTCCCACAGTTGCAGCAGGAGGGAGGGAGAGGACAAGAGGAAAAAAGGTCTTGAATGTAAAGGCCACAGGTGAGTCTGCACTGGGAGCTGTAGCAATCTGAAAGGTGCTCAGCTGCATATGCTTTTTTTTTTTTTTTAAAGAGACAGGGTTTCATCATGTTGGTCAGGCTGTTCTTGAACTCCTGACCTCAGGTGATCCACCCGCCTCAGCCTCCCAAAGTGCTAGGATTACAGGTGTGAGCCACTGTGCCCGGCCATATATGCTTTTAAAGAACAGAAAATGGCCTGGCCAGAAAGCTAAGGAGACAAGTACAGCAGAAAAATTTTGCCAGGTCAAGTACGTGACTGTTAAAACTCACCCAGCAAGACAGACTAAGTGGCTGACGCCCACAGTCCCAGCACTGTGGGAGGCCGAAGCCAGAGCAGTTCTTGAGCTCAGGGGTTCAAGACTGACCTGGGCAACATAGTGAGACCTCATCTCTACAAAAAATGAGAAAGCCAGATGTGATGGCACCTGTCCCAGCTACTTGGGAGGCTGAGGTGGGAGGACTGCTTGAGCCCAGGAAGCTGAGGCTGCGGTGAGCTGTGATTGTACCACTGCACTTCAGTCTGAGTGACAGAGCAAGACTCAGTCTCAAAGCAAAACAAAACAACTGAACCAGCAGCCTGAGGCCAAAGACTCAAGGGAGGCTCCTCAAAATCCTGGGTTCACAGTAAGACCTGGGCCAAGCCGCAGCCCAAATGGCTGCATGCTCAAGAGGCTCCAGGAGGGGGGCCACCTGCCCTCTTAACTTAGAGAACTGGTCGCCACGGTGTCCAGTTTTGTGAAGGCCAATTGCCAGGTCTGTCTGCAGTGATGGAGTGCGTCTGGGCAGGGCCTGGGAACCTGCATGGTTAGCTTGTGACCGCCACTGTGTGGCTGGGACTACCCTGAGCCTCGTGGTACCTCCAGTGTGTTCCGGCCCCACCTGGCTTTCCCTCCAGACCCGCCCAGGCCCCCTGGCTTTTCTGCCTTCTTTGGGATGTGACTGGTGATGACGAGGGGCAGCTGGATCTCTGGGTTAGGGGAGCTCCCTTTTCCTGCCTCTGACACAGAATGCTGAACGTCAGGCTCCTGGGAGGCTGCACCGTAGGCAGGCAGGGCCTGGGCCTTGCTGCTATGCTCTAAGTGGGACTGGGTGAGGTGACGGGTATGCTGTCCCAGCATGGGGCTCAAAGAGCAGTCCTGATAGGCCTGAGGGGTCCTTCACAGGGACCCAGTTGTGCAGGGCCACAATGGCGCTCCAGCACGTGACCCCCAGTACTTAGCACAAGCCTCTGCAGAGTGAATGCTCCTACCTTACCCTTGGAAACGTGCTTGGCGCCCAGGGCTCCAATTATCCTGGGCTTCCTCGCCAGATCCCCAATGACTCAGCTGCCAACCATCCTGTTTTCATTCTGAACGGGCAGCTGAGTTTGCGGCCCTGAAGCTGGTCTATAAGCATGTCCTCTGTGGGAGAAGGCTGTTCTGCAGAGGCACAGGTGCCCTGCAGGGTGGCCTCGGCTGAAAGGCAAGCCCCATAACTGCACATTCTGCCTATGGGACTGAAGGAGCAGGCTAAAAGGAGCGGCCTGATTCTGCTAAGCAGCTGTGAGCTTCAGCAAACCCCTTGTCTTCTTTTTGTGACTTTTTCCCATAATGGAAAGTTGAGATTTGATCAGCTGCCATCAATCCTGCGTGCAGTGCCTGGAGGCTTTGTGAAGGCCAATTGCCAGGCCTGTCCACAGTGATGGGGTGTGTCTGGGCAGGGTCTGGGAACTTGCATTTCTAAGAAGTTCTGGGGAGGCTACTGCTGTGGGCCTGGGAGCCACAGAGAGTCACGGGGTTAGAGAATGTCTTAGCTCCCTTCTTGCTCAGCTCACTTGAACAGTCTTGAAAAAACATCTTATAAGTGAAAAGAAAAAAGATTGCTAAAAAGTATATTCTAGGGAAGATGAATGGTTTTAAAATATCACTTAATATCAGGTACTTTTTTTTTTTTGTAGAGACAGGGTTTCACCCTGGTCTCGATCTCTTGACCTCATGATCCACCCACTTTGGCCTCCCAAAGTGCTAGGATTACAAGCGTGAGCCGGCTATCAGGTACTTTTCCACTATTGGAAAAAAAAAAAAAAAGTAACTGATTTTCTTCTTTGAGAGACGGAGTCTGGCTCTACTGCCCAGGCTGGAGTGCAATGGCATGACCTTGGCTCACTGCAACCTCTGCCTCCCGGGTTCAAGTGATTCTCCTGCCTCAGCCTCCAGAGTAGCTGGGATTACAGGTGTCTGCCATCATACCTGGCTAATTTTTATATTTTCTGAAGAGATGGGATTTCACCATGTTGGCAAAGCTGGTCTCAAATTTCTGACCTCAGGTGATCCACCCACCTTGGCCTCCCAAAGAGCTGGGATTATAGGCGTGGGCCACTGTACTCAGCCATTTTTGTTTGTTTTGAGACAGAGTCTCACTCTGTCGTCCAGGCTGGAGTGCAATGGTGTGATCTTGGCTCACTGCAACCTCCACCTCCCGGGATCAAGTGATTCTCCTGCCTTAGCCTCCTGAGTAGCTGGGATTACACCACGCCCAGCTAATTTTTGTATTTTCAGTAGAGACAGGATTTTTCCATGTTGGCCAGGCTGGTCTG